TGTAAGAGCACGTTGACTATCAATATCAACACTAACATCAGTAAGATAACCTTTATTATAAAGATCCATAAATATTTCTAATCGTTTTTTAATTATTTGTCTTTGTTCTTCACGACGTTTTGGATATTCATCTGGATGATATTTATATTTAAACCATTCTTCATCTTTATGTGCTGTAAAAAATTCGGCAATTTGAGTTTTTTTAAAATCTGTTTTATAAACATTATAACGTTTAACAGCTTCTTCTTGATCAATATTATCATCTTGATCAAGAAGAAAGTTTTTAAAACTAAGCAATGGTGGTTGTGTTGTACTATCAGTTGATTCTCTATAAAAAAAACAAAATATTTTTTATATGACAAAAGATATGTTAAAGAAAAACAATTTTACTTAGTTAATTGATCAGTATTTGAAGGTGCATTTAATGGAAAATTTGGATGAAATCCTCCTCCTCCTCCACCTCCACCACCACCACCATGAAAATAAGGTGAACCACCAGGTGGATCAAAATGAGATGGTGGTTGATCGGAACCATCCCTAAAAAAACAAGAAGAATAACTTTTCTTAATAAAAAGATTGATTTTTTTTACCAATCACGACGAAAACGTTTATTTTGTGGTGGACTCATATCATATCTTGCAGGACTTCGATTGTATCTTGGTGGGAAATCACGTCCTGGTGGTGGACCGCCAGGATATTGTCGGCGAAATTGATTTGGTCGATCTCTAAACAAAATTTACATATTCAAATAAGGAGCATAAAAAATAAACGTTTTTTTTACCTTCCATCATTCCATTCTCCACCACCACGATTATGATTACCTCGATTTCCACCAAAATCATCACGTTCACGGCGAAATTTATCTCGATTTCGTCGACTATCAAAATCATCATCACTATCACCCATTTTTGATTTTAAAGAGAAAAAAACTCAACTCTCTCGTTTACGTCAAAAAAGAAGTCATCTTTATATTCTTTGTTTTGGTTTAATTTTCTTCCAATCAAATATCTTCAATATGTTGCGACCTCTTTCCTTGCTCATTCATCGATATCATTATCGAATCCAGTACTGAATAGATTACTTATCCACCATATCATATCCGTCCGACTATCTAACCCATGAAATCGTATGATTCATGTGTTGCATTGGAATTTTCTAAAAAAAAACCCTGTATTTAAAAAGAGCAAATTTTTACTTTCATTCACATTATATTTCTTCTAGATTTTAAGATATTATCTTATCCATGACTTCAACTAACGTGGGAAAAAACAATCAAGAAAATATGACAGTAACAGGTGATCAACAAAGTAAAGCTGCACCTATCCATGATGCTACATCATTTCATGAACATTCCCATGAATGCAACGATCCGTCACATCATCATAATACGCCTCAATTTTTTGATCAAAATGATTTGAATTCGATGTTAGCAGGTGCACAAAAAGATATATCAACTAAACGTAAACATAAAAAACCTCAACAACAAAATATTATACGTGCTGAATTAATTCCTGGCCATCGTGGTGAACAAAATATTGATGATCTTGTGAATTTTATTAACAGTCCATCGCCACCAAAGAACGATAAAAAACAAAAAAAGAAATCGACAACAACAACAACTAGTTAAATTTATTTTCTACTACATTTCATAAACTTCGAAAAAATATTGATATTTTTTCTTTTTTTTTTCTTTTTATTAACGATATCAAATAAACTAGATAAGTCTTATGCATGAGCACGAACAAAAAAAAAGAACAATTTTTCTAAGAATACAAATATAACTATGGAAAATAATAAAATGATTTGAGTAATATAAAAGAGAAAAACAAAATGAGATCACTGTCTTTTGAAAAAAAAATTTGTTATTGAACTTTAAATAAGGCTACTTTTTCGTTTGCTTCTTTTTTGATTTACCATTCGTTGATGAAGATTTCTTCGAAGAAGAAGAAGACGACGATTCAGTCGATGTAGGTGGTTGTGGAGGAGTTTCTTCCGTTACAATACCATCTGAATCAGATTCATCAATTGCACTATTAATTTCGTTTTTAACTGATTTTATAAAATCTGTTTTATATATAATACTTCGAATAGCTAATTTAATAATATGATAACTAGAAAATAAAAAAGATGTAGATTAATAGCAATTCATTGATTTATAGAAGACTACAAACTATTGAAAAAAATGTACTTTTCGATTACCTTCATTTAGAGGTCGTATATATATATACTGATCAAAATAAATTAATCATAATTTTCAGACAGCATATTACAAAGAGCTATGAGCTTATTCAGGAATATTACACAATATAAAATTCTCTTAGAAAGAACATACTTTGCCTTTAAGACCTACGAATTTTGATACTCTGATTGTAGTTTCGTACATATATATATCAGACCTTGAAATGAAGGTAGTTTGAACACAGGGGCGTAGCCAGAGAGGGTGCATAGGTACCCGTACATCTCTCATGCAAAACTCTTAGCTACGCCTTGGTTTGAACATTAAATTAAATAATTTCCTGCCTTTCGACTACGTTGCAGTATCGGGCGCGCTGTCCAGAGATATTTTCTTCACAAGTATTACTAGCTGTAGCTTTGGGCAAAAGGCCGATCTGACTCAGGATTCTTTCGCTTAATCTTCCTATTTAATATCATACCATCGTAAAAATTGTCTTCGTTTCTTTGCGAAAAATGTTTTAAATGTTCTATGATGTTTTTCATGCCATTTGATTTTTGTATCTAAACGTTTAACTATCGATCGATTCATACTTGTTTCAAATTGTAAACGTATATTCGTCCAATTTGTATTTGTTTCATTTTTATTATGTAATTTAAAATCATATGGAAGTTCTAATAATTCATGAAGTGTTTTTTGACGTAATTCTTCAAAAACATTTTCATATGATAAACGAACAAGATCAGCTTCTTCTTTATCAGTATATATTGGACGATTACGATCAACTGTTTCATTAAGTAAACGATCAGTTAAATTATAATAACGATCCCATAAATGAACAATTTCAACATCGGATTGATTTAAATAAGTATACATATAACATGATGGTGTTGATGAAATTGTATAAACTTAAAAAACAAAAGTGTTTTTATTTTACAAAAGAAAATTAAAATCAAACCATTATGATAATCTCCATTAGGTACAGACATATTTTGTCCAACATTTAGTGTAACATTTTCTTTTAAACCTAACATTTCAACTACAATTTGACCTTCAAGTACTTCAATAGTTGTATTCAAATCAGCCGGAATGTAGTTTTCCAAAAACAAGCCTAAATATATATACATATTCATAAATCATTGACAAATAAATCAATGTTTTTCTTTACCAGGAAAATCAGCAACAAATGTAACAAGTACATTTTGATCTTTACTTGATAGTTCTGTTTCAATTTTTTGCATACGTGTTCTCCAATCACTTAAATTTGTTAATAATGGTTGCAGCCATGGTGTATCTTGAAATGGACTCCATTTAACATCTGACGAAAGTAAATCAATACGTGGATCAATCTGTCGTTGATTAAATCGTCCATTCATTGAACGCCAGATATCAAAACGAAGTTCAACATCATCATAACCATGTTGTTTTAATTTTCCTTTTATACATTGCGCATATTGAACTAAAAAAACAGAAAAGATTTATTAATTACAACAACAACAAAAAAAATTCTTTACCAATCATATCAGCATGTGAACTCCATCGTTTTGCTGATGCCCATGCTGTTGGTCGTAAATAATGCGGTTCATTTGTTTTCTTATCAAGAAAAGTTATTTTTACATGTTGACTAATATTTAAAAATTCATAAGAAGATTTTAAATCAAAATAAGATTTATTCTTACGTATGCCAACTATGTACCATCATATCCCAGGAATAACCATATAAACCCTACAAAGAACAATTGTTTGTTATATAAAAATAGTTTAATTTAAACATACATTTGTCCAATTATTATAACCTTTCGTAATAAAATGTGAATAAGGTAAAAATCCTTGTTCAACAAGATAAAAAAGAGCAAAAATTGTGAAAATTTTATGGCGTAATGTTGATTTCGTTGGTGCATTTTTAACTGAACTATTATTAGCAATTTTTGATTTTATTGATGGACTTTTTGGTTCTTCTGGTTTAATTTCTTCTTTGGAATATAAACATGATGAACTATATTGTAAAGGTGTTTCTTTATATAAGAATTTTGGTGCAAAACGATTTAAAAATTTTCGTGGCCAATTATTATGGAAAAAAATTGGAATTGTCGCAATCATTGTATATGGAAACATACCTAAAATTCATATTTATTCGTATTAATAGAAAAAGTTAATCTTTTATATTGATTTACCAATATTAAATAATTGAGAATTCATTATATGGAAAGATAAACAAAAGAATACTCCAAATGGACGTGAACGATCAAAAAATAATGCAAAACCAACAAGTAAATCAAAGAAAAGACCACAAACATGTACGAGAATTAATGTAATCTGTTCAATTGTCATAAATGAGCTGAAATATTTATAAAACATTTTCTATATTTTACTTTCTTAAAAATTAGTTACCGAAATGGTGAAAATACCCAATGTTCACCTAATGTATCCATTGAATATCCACTAACCCAATCCCAATCAGTTTTTTTCAAACCCGCAATAAAATAAACAAGAAAAACTTGATATCGAATTAATGTATAATTCCATAATGGTACATGTGAATTACGAATTTTCTTTCGAAATAAACCATCAATTGACCTTGAGAAAAACAAAGAAATAAAATTTTACAATTATTCTTCAACAACAAAATATAAATCTTCAATCAAGAAGAAGAAAACAGTGTGAGACATGAGTGAAAAAAAATTATTAAAGTCAATGATGAGAAAAAAAATATCACTCACTAATATTTTATCATTCGATCTTTTCTTTTTCTATAAAATAATCATAATGTTACTATATATATATATCCTTTTAAATTATAGGAAAAAATAAAATCATATAGAAATATTTACCAATAATGATGTGCATCAAAAAACATCAATTGAAAACCAATTAAACCATATAAATATGAATGATTATTCCAAGATGTTTTATCAAGAAAAAATATATACCAATACGTTATTGTAAAACATATAGTTGACAAACGATAAAAAAAACCAATTGTAATACCAAAAGCGCCTTTGAAAAAATAAAATTAAAAGAAAAATATATAACAAAAAAGATTTATACCGAGAAGCATAATAAAATAAACAATAACCATATATTCAGCACGTAATGGTTCAAGAAAATTGAATAATGGAAATTGACATTCTTTATCATCGTTTGGATAATAAACATCTGCATGAGACATACCACGTTCTTGAGGAATATCCAACATCATAAGAATACCTAGAATATTTAATTAAATAAATACAAGCTAAGTTTTGCTCGTGATTAGAGTGAACTACTACATCACTTTCTACCCACAACTAATCAGTATATCTAAATTATCTAGTATGAAAACAACAGTCTAATTATTTACAAAATAAATAAAATTTGTACTATTCCATTGTTGTCTATTTTTTGAAAAATTCAAATTATAAAAATATAAATTCTATTCATTTATTTTTTTATTCATACCAAAAAAAATACGAAGAATCGCCAATGAACTTGGATCTTCAGGTCGATTCATAAGTTTAACAAAACTTGACCATGATTGTAAATCAGTTAAGTCAAACCCAAGTAATCGACGCATGGTCGAGATTTCTTGTTGTTGTTGTTGTGGTTGTTGTTTTTTTGAGGCCATTGAGAGATGACTTATCTTAAACAAATATAGATTCAATTTATAAATGAGATCTCAAAATACACAATGTTATCATGCAATAAATATACATATATATCTAATTCTAAAACAAAGTTTCCATACAAAATAATTATTCTATACATTATATATAAAGAAAAGAGAAAAGGCGTTTAGCTTAAAAATTTCATGCTCATTTTATCGTCAGCATCAATACGTTCGAGTGTTTTACAAAATTCTTCAAATGTTATTGATTTATCCCCATCTTTATCCTATAATAAAACAAAAATAAATTATAACATCTATAGAATATAATTTCATTACCAGTTCTCCAATTGTATGATCAGCAATTGTCGCAATTTGATCTTCATGAATATTTCCTCCAACCATCATTTTCAAAACATCAAGCAATTCAGTTCGATCAATTTTCATATCATGATTACGATCATACATCTAATTAAAAGATTCTTATTTGTTCATAGAAATTCATTCGATTATTGAAAACTTACATCAAATAAAAATCTTAATTTACTTTCTCGTGTATTATAATTTGTTATTGATGATTTGATTTTACCTTGACGAAATTTTGCAAGTAAATACATAAATTGTTTAAAATTTATTTGATTATTTTCACCATAATCTTCCATAATAACATCAATTAAACGTTCACCTAATGGATTAATATTTACTTCAGGTATAATTAATAGATCTTCTCGTGTTAAATATCCACAATCACGTTTATCTAATAACTTAAAACGACTATATAACCGTTGAACTTGTTTACCAGTAAAACCTAAAAATGATTTAATTGTTAACATCGATGAAAGAATATCAAGAAGGGTGATAGATGATTTTTCTCATTAATTTATCTTATAGGTCGATAACAGGTTCTTATCTTCTATATATAGATATTTTCTTTTCTATGTTTGCTTATACAATCATATCCATATGAGAATAATTTCCATACTTTATATTAATAAGCTGTCAGAAATAATCCATAAACTAAGTTAATTGAACATCGGTGAAGATTAATGAAAAAAACTCATTTTCTCATAGAATTATCTAAAGCTTAAAAAATAATGAATTTTTACAGTTATACAATTTTCAGGGACGCACCGAGGTACCAAAAGCAGCAGGGGGCGGACATAGGTCATATTTTTACTCTTTTCAGCGTAAAATCTAAAAGCAGGGGGTGGCGTGTAACACGAGTAAATTCTAGAAGCAGAGGGGGCGTCTCGTCCCTGAACAATGTATTCATACACACATCTTGAGTTGAATATTTCTTTTCTATATTATACTATCAACCAACCTGTCTGTTGACAAATATTCTGTAAATCTTCTTGTTGAAGCATGATACTCGCATTCGAACCCATGATAGTAGAAAAATAATAATCTAAAATGCATAGAAATCATTTAAGCAAACATACTCATATTGAAGTGGAATAAAGCTAAAGGGCTTATGATCTCATGCATATATATATATATATATAATGAATTAGTTATTCAAGTCAAGTTTTAAGAATTGATTTGTTCATGTAGTTATTATTCTTTTTTTTTTAATGTTAAATGTTAACCGGGATAATACAAAAAAATATCATCATAATAATAAGAAGAAGAGAAAAACAAGTTAACAATGTATAACAAAAAAAGTTTGAAATTTAATAAAATGCGCTTTGCGATGAATAGAGACAAAATAAATTACTCTTCAGATTCACCTGGTAAACGAATATCATCAATTTTAAGAATCATTCGAACAAGTTGAGTAGCTAAACTGATTTGTTGTCTTTTACCAATAAGTGTTTCGATAACTAATTGACTCTTCATATCTAAATTAAATAATTATTTATTGAAGAAAAAATCGAAATCAAAATAATCAAATTTACCATTTGTTCCTGTATTAAGACAATCGATACCTAAACTTGGATTATTTTGTGCAATTTGTGCCGATTTTACATCTGCTACTGTTTTAATTGGTGAATAACCACTATTTTCAGCTAATGCTAATGGAACTGATTCAAGTGCATCAGCAAATGCTCGAATTGCATATTGTTCGATTGTTGCAATCTATGAAATAAATAAAATCTATTAGAAAAAAACCAATTGATTTCTATATATGAATATGTATACCTTATTTGCTTCTTTGGCTACTTCAATAGCACATGATATTTCACATGCGCCACCACCATAAACAATTCGATTGTCACGTACAAGATTTCTTACAACACATAATGCATCATGTAAAGCACGTTTTGCTTCTTCAACAACCTAAATTTAGAAACAAAAATGAAATCAGTATTTTTCTATTGATATCAAATACTATTTCTACGAGAGAGAGAGAAAGAAAAACTATTCGACTATTTTATCTCATTGAAATGTATCATACAATACGCATGATATCTTATATATTGAGTCTGGTATTAAGTTAAGATATTCAATATTATAGATTTATTTGTATTTCCTTGTACTGTTGATAAGATATATATTTCGTAGGGATAATAATGTATACACAACATAAGAAACAAATTATGGGTAATGTTCGCGTAGCAGATGTGCAAATCTCGTAATCGTTCTATAATTGATATTTTCTAAATCTATTCTGTATTTGATAAATCGAGAACTTGTGTGACAAGTTATTATACAAATTGTAATTTGATGAAATTCCTTATTTTCTAGTACACATCAAGAAAAGAGAAAACTGACGGAATTCAATCGGAAAAAAGATGTTAATGGAATCTCTGTTGGATTACAATATAAAACACGATATGATATTCGTCAATAGAAAAATTCTATTAATTGCAATTCTCTTTCATCAGTTCGAATTAGAAACAATATCAGATATGATTTCTTATTCTCCTTATTCATAAATATATACTGAAATTACCATTTTGTTTCCTCCACGAACAAATATAGTACATGTATTTGATTTTTTGCATTGTTCAATACATAACATATGTTCACTTGTTGTACCAAAATCTAATTCATAAACATGTCCAGCAAAACCCAATTTATCTGCGGTAAGCTCTTGAAATCTTGGTACAATTCGACCACCTGTTGCAATAGCAATTAATTCAATTTCTGGTCCACCAACCCAACGTACGGCTGGTAATTCCTGAGATAAAAGTAAATGATTTGCTTCATCATCAAATCCCCATTGACAAATAACTAAATTAGCACCAGCATCTTTGATCTGTTTTCGAGAAAAAAAATAAAACAAATTTCGAATTTTTAAATTATTTATTTTAACATACGGATTTAATCATTTCAGTGAATTTTTCTTTTTCATATTCACGAAGTTTTTTATAATCTTCAACATTTGTGATATCTAATTTATGTTTAGTTTTGGGTTTTGGTGGTTCAAATGGACATGTTAAAATTGCTATTTTAGCATTACGCACTTCCTAGACAAAACAAACAAGCAAATTATTTTTTAGTTTAATATTATCTATGAATAATAAAATAGATTTAACCTTGGGCATTTGTGGATGTGCAAATGTTTTATCAACAACAACACCTTTAACTAACATTGTATCTTCAAGACGACCACCCACTTTACCTTGAACTTTAATAAGTTCAAAATTAACATCACGTCGTTCCATATCTACAACATTCATAATAGCATTAACAGCAATTTCAGCCATTTGACGTTGACAACGATTGATACTAAAATAGAAAAGACAAATATGAAATAAATTTTTTTCCCTATTAAATTAATTCTATATTACATTTTTGAACCAAGTGTTGTCATAGCTGTATTAACTAATGGATCAAGATTTTTCAAATCAAGTGGATATGATTCAGCGATTTTATCCAAATGATCAAGTGCAACTTTAGCTGCTAATTCATAACCATCAGCTATACGAATTGGATGAATACCTTTATCGAGCAATGCTTCAGCTTGTTCAAGTAAAGCACCAGCCAAAACTATTTATATTAAATATAAAAAAATAAACAAGTCTTTATTTTCGATTTTAACTATTGATTTACCGACAACACCAGTTGTTCCATCACCAATTTCATCATCTTGTGATTTTGATAATTGAACAAGTAATTTTCCTATTTCATTTTCAACATGCATCATACTGAGTATAGTTGCACCATCATTCGTTATTGTTATATCACCATCCGGTGATACCATACATTTATCCATGCCTTATGAAGAAAAATTAGGGCTTATATAATTTAATTTCGACATCGAAAATATACCTCGTGGACCTAAGGATGTTTTAAGTGTATCAGCCACCGCTTTGCCTGCTAATATATGAGACTAAAACACACAAAATAAAGAATATTGAAAATTATAAATTAATTAGAAAAAAAACCTTGTGTGCTTCAATCCCAAATAATCGCTTTTTTGATTCTTGTCCTCGGAGGATAAGTACTGGACGACCGAATTCATCGAAAGCAAGTGTTCCAACAGATGGCATCTTTTAAATGAATTATCTGAAATTAATTTAAGCGTTTTAAACTCAATATTGAATGATTAGCTATAAATACAATTATAATCATTATTTACGTTATGTTTATATAAGATCGAGTTCTATTCAATAGTCTTTTACGTTCGTACATGAATTATTGGTTGATAATTACATTACTTATATTATAGAATTTAATCTATAGAAAATGAACTTGATAAAATATAAGACAAATTATATCTTAATTAATTTGAATTGATAAAGTCGAAAATAGATTAAAAAACTATAGGAATAGAGGGCAGTGTTTATCAATAGACATAATTTGAATGACAGATGGCGATAATCATTTATCTCGATCAAAGTACCGAATTAATTATTTGACTTTAGATTAAATGTGGTAGAACTTTTGCACAACTTGTATTTAAGAATAATTCTTGGAAAAAATACTGATAAATAAAGTTTAAAAAGAATTTAATGTATATTTGATTTTATTAATAAAAAAAACAGTTTAAAAAAAAAGAAATTTCTTGCATAACATGATATAGTTTACTGTTAATTCTCTTCATCTGTAAATGTGATTTCATAAAAACCATTGAATTTCTACTGCTTATAAAGCAATATTAATATACTGTATATATATATATATAGGAAAAATTAATTATCTAGTTAATTCTTCATAACCCATGCTTCCCATAACATAGTATATTGATATATTATCTGATGAGTTTTTTCTAATGTTTGTTCGATTTGACAATAAATACATGATGAATCATTTAGAAAATTCATATGTGATGCAAATTGTATAATTCGAAAATATTGTAGTAAATTATTCGAGATAAGAGCAGGTAAAATTTCAAATTCACAACCTTCACAATTAATACTTATCATATCAATCATTCCATTATTAAGTGTTTTTGTTTTTCTAATATTTTGAATGACTTCAATTATATTTAGTATTTCGATAGTTTGAATTTTTGTTGAATTTTTATTCGATACTTTTCGAAACATACTTGTACCAGTATTTTCATTATCAAATGGTTCAATCGATATTGTTCTTGCTTGATTACCAAGTCCATATGGTTGTATTTCGATTTTTGAATTTGTTTCAAATTTTTTCTTTAAATCATTTGACATTTGTATTAATGGTTCAAAACTAATTATTGAACAATTGTATAATTCAATAAATTTCGATGTATCAAGTCCAGTATTTCCACCAACTTCAATAATAAGTGAAGAGGCATTTAAGAAATTTTTAAATGATTTATGACGTAAATCTTGGACAGCCCAAAATGCATCATTTCGACTCCATTTCAAACAAGTTTTATATTTTTCTCCATCAATAGTTGAATTATTCTTCCGCGTATCGCACGTAAAATATCCATTTGGAATTGACATTGTACGAGAAGAAATAGCGGATACTAATGGATCATTATTTGATTTGAAATAAAATAATATCGAATATAAAATTATAACTATTGCTAATAGACAAAGACATTTACTACGCACATTCATTTTAGATAATAATAAATATTGATTTACAAATAAGAAAGAGCACGAGTTGCTAATTAAAACATTATGTTTATCTAAAATTAGAAACGGTAAGACATGAGTTGCTCACGTAGATAAGTATGAATATATATTATAATACAAGAATCTCGATAGCGAATGAAATTCAGTTAGTTTTACTACACCGGTATTCGATGTTTCTAGTGAAAAAATAACTCTACGTTATTCTATATAGTATTTTTTCTTCGTCTATGAAAAATGAAAATTTTGTTTAGTGATACTTAACAAAGAGTCTCTTCAGGACGCCATTAGGGATATATAAATTTCTTATACCATACTTACTTTCTAGCCCATCGTTATCGTGTAAAAAGAGAGAAAATGTACATACATGAGTAAATGTCAAGTATGAAAAGAATGATTACAAAGCTAATATATAGAAAAGACGTGAAGATAAAAATATATTACATTTATTAAAACTATCGTGGTTGAGTAGTTTTATTATTTAACATGTGCTTCAATATACTGAATTTATGTTCTGACGCCAGCTACTATCGAATAGTCATCGGTAAATCACTAACAGCTGTTTGTTTAGAATCATATTTCTCATACTATATCCTCTAAATGATTCACAAATGTAAAAAAAGAACGTTCTTGTAACTAACATGAGACACGATAATGTGTATGAGAAACTTAACTAATTAAGCGGAAGAACTCGAAATGAGATTAATAGTATTTTCACATCTACACCTAATAATCGTTGCAGAAGAATAATATCAAGTCTGTAAAAATTATCTTTGGACAACAGTGTATATATCGAGGTAGTGAATAGGTAGTTCTCTTCTTCCATATTTGCTGATAATGAGAGTAGCGAATTTTCCTACTATCTTAATTCTTAAAAAAATAATTATCATTTCGCACAATTAATTATAAATAAGTAGATCATCTTCACGAAAAGAATGTCTTCTAGTCACTCCAGCTCCAAACCATTTTCGTACAGACTAAAAACTCTCAATTCATACTTGCTTTACAAATTAAGCACATAAATAATAATTCTAAATAGAAGTATTATTTTATCTGCATGTGTTGCGATAAGAAACAATAAAGTAATGAAAATCTTTCTTTACTTGATGCAGCCAATTGAGATAAAGAAAGAAAGACAAAGTAAAGGTATAGTAACATTCTTAGCTCTAAGATAATGATATTAATAATATATTTGTAGATATTACAAAATGAAATAATAATAACGATGTATATATCTCCCAGAATCTCTAACTATTAAAAAAAAGACTCATACCATCGGAATCACCCATGAATTCACCTAAAGACGTTCGCTTTGCAATTTAAAAGTTCTAGTGTGATCATTCAAGAGTATAATTCTGATATTGACAGAAAGATTTTAGTAATAGAAAATGGGACGAATGTTTGTCATCCGCTTTTCTTTTGCTTAAAATAAGTATACCTAATAACTAAATACTTTACTAATCCTTTTCCTTGAAACTAATCGGCATACGAATCATTTTTAATAATAAATTTATCATGAATATTACTTGTATACGATAAAAAAACTGATTTATTACGATTGAATGGTATGTCATGTAATTTATCAGATATAATTTTGAGATATCTATGACGACAATATTCAAAACAAAAATTGTATAATGGATTTTTACACAAGGACACTTAAGAGATGGTAGTTGTGAAGAAGATGTTATAATTTTGTCATACTTGAAATGTATGAAGATTTTTACATGTTGGAAAAAATACTAATATATGATATTGTCTGGAACACCTATACTTATCTGTAAAAACGGCTATGATTTATTTAATAAACTCTAAATTGGCAGATTATCTTACATGTATTCATAAATAATGATCACTTGCTTGAATTATATAAAAACAAAAACAAATAGGATCGAACAGTTGCTTTATGTTAAGCAAATATAGACGACCAAATGATGCATATGTGAATGTTATAAAAGAAAAGATCCATTAGAAACACTCTGTAAGACATAGCGCACACACTCGTCTGCTCGTATATTTATTACGCTCGAGTTATACTTAGACTATGTGCTGTGCTATGCTATAGAAATTGCTCCATTCTAGCCTGTTAAACTTCTAGAAATGTCATCTATTTCAGTGACAATATGTTGTTCTTTCGTTCTTTTACTCTATTAATCTTTGTCTAGCAAAAAAAATTCCTACTAAACAAGTTTTTTAATAACATTTTCTCTGGTATATATACTTGTATAGTACTGATTACTAATCAAAAGATACAAGTGTTCAATTTTTGACATTGTAACGTGTGATAAAAGTCAGGTAGATATATCGTTAACATAATTATACGTCTCACGTTAACAATTCTGATAAACAATCGTCGTCTCTAATATATTACATATACTATTTTTACACCCTCAAGCTTATTGTGATATTTTACGATGTAACGGAATGTAGCAAGAATTTTTTAATAAATTTTAGGATGAAAATGTTATTTAATTAGCATTCAGATCGATAATTACGAGTTACTTTTTTTTCTATGAGATATAAAATAATAATCATTGTTTATTTTTAGTGTTTTTGATGAGAATAGAATTCAAAGAGAATAAATGAGAGATAAATATTATCATACAGCTTCTATTTCCTAACCAACATCATTATTGCCATAAAGAAACAGAACGTTACTATTCTCTAGTCGTACGAATGTAACATGGTGTACCCAAAAAAATGAAAGCTATGATCACTATTAGAATACATTCTTCTTAAAGGTCTTTGATATGATTTTTATAATATAATAGTTTCTCAATTTGATAGAACTGTTTAAAATATATGTACTATCAAACTTTAAACTATGATTTTACTAAGATAACTCTTTCCTTATTTTTATTTATGACACATGACTGATAACAGAAGTCATTACTAATATATTTCTTTTGAATAAACCATATTTAAAAATTGAGTTTTATTAATTGCGATGTTCCATTGTGTATTAATCGATTTATGTGGTGATGAAAAATGTGCTACTGTTGATTAGTGAAATGTCATTTTTAACTGACAAATCGATTGCATAGAGAACTGTTAATCATATTCTAGACTGCAATATTCTCTTTCGCTCTCTCAGCGACTTCGGAAAGAACTAAAAACTTCTGTACTTATATTATGTTACTTTTTTTCTCGTTTATTTCATCGTATGAATAGAAAAGTATTTATTAATGATTAGTATCTGCCTATGTAATAATTGTTATACCACTAGTTGAGTTTCTAGTAAAGTCATAAACGATACTTTGAACTGTTCGTCAAGACTTACGAGAGATATCTCGATTGAAAATCAGTAAATGTCAGTTATATGAAACCTTCAAAGAAAATAATTTACTTATATAAACAGTATACTTATTTTGTTTTCTGTCATTAATTCTTGTTGGGTATGAATTTCTTCTTGTCTATTGTTAATCATTAAAATTTATTCTACTTGTAGATTATCTACTAAACTATACTTTGTACAAAAATGATAAAATACAAGTTTATTAGTATTTACATCAAGAAGAACATTTGCATATTATATGTTATTGATAGATTTCATCATAATTTTCTTTTATTGATTAACTCATTCTGCTTTCACCTGTTAATCTCTTTCCAGCTCATTCTATTTTTTCACAAATGACTTTTCTAATAGTCTCTACTCGCTGAAAACTATATAAAATTGTATAATCTGTTGATATAGATTATACCATCGCGGCTTGTCTGTTGACTTATCTGTTCATAGTAATTCGTAGTAGATATTCGTTTTTTGATTAACATAACCATGGTAGCACCAGATAACGTCTTGCATAAAAATATATAAATTTAAATTTATGGAAATTAATACGAGAAAATATGCTCTAAAACTGTTAGAAATAGAAACAATGATGGATCACGATAAATATAAGATGTGCATTTCTATCATAAATACATTCTCAATTGATGATCGATATAGAAGATTTTTTTCTTTTCTAACATGCTATTTATATTAAATAGCTCTGTTTCAATATAGTCTTTCTACAAATATAAATGTTTTATATTTTTCTATGAGAAATTATTTATCTTTGTTCGTCTATTGTAATTAATCTAATTGAAAGAAACAATTTTCTAAAATAATATTAGTATCACACTCTCTTGCGATCTTTACCTAAAAAGAGGAACAGATTTAGCTTATAAATTAGTAAAATGCATGACGAACCTGATCTAAGTAGATTTTTTTTCTATTTATTTATAAAGATTCTTTCTATTACTAGTACTTAGATGATTGTTCATTGTCTCTTTGCTGCGAGTGATGTTTTATGGGTTTTTCCTATTCAGTCATATATATATATATGATGATGAATTTTTGCCTTCTTTCCTTCATGTTGTTCCTCAAATATTCCTCGCGTGTTGTGTTTTTCGTTCTATAGAAACTCCATCTCTTTCTATCTAAGATATGTATATAGTTGTTACGCTAAATATCTTGATATCATACATACATCTATACTTTTATAGAAAGTATCATGTTTCAATTACATTTTTGTTATTAAAACTTTTCCAGTGCATTATATTCTTACCCACTATAAAAACTCAATACACAAATATTATTTAATTACATTCAAAATTTAATAAAAAAAGTTGATGTGAATGTTAGATCCAACATACGCATTATTGATTACTAGACGTGATACAACTAAAGTTCTTTTAATGAAAAATATCTCAAAACGAATGATTAAAAACTAACATAAGATAATCGAAATGATAAAAAAAGAGACCTTCAGACATGTTTTGTAGTTATGGGTAGCACTGTGTGATGAAATGTATTTATCATCTCGGAAATAATAATAATTGATTCATGATTTTCCTTGTTGCTAAATTTAGATGACATTAAATTTTGATTGTTGCTATAATTATATTTGACGACAATAATTCGATACTTGTAATTGTGATAAAATCCGCTGGGAATGGTTTTTTATTGATTTCTTTTCATGGTATGGTTGTTGTTGTAACATTTTCCTCTATCTTCCAATACACTGAACTATATTATGTAATAGTTTAATGAGAACATTTTTTGAGAGGAAATATCGTAGTTAAAATTCGTTGATTTTTATTTATGCAGTCTTGAATTGAAAATATTAGTGTAAATTTCTTCATATGAATTTAGTGAAATAAAATGCCTTTCTATATAAAATTATGGGTGTGAGTGTGATTTCAATTCGAGTTATATTAGTAAAAAAACTGATAAATAAGAGCATACTTTTTATTATTTCTTGAAGTTTTACTGCTAATACTTAAATAAATTGAATTCTCTGAATATCAGAAAGAGCTTATTCAGAACCCATATTTACTTCATCAATGATAATAATAATTATTCCTGTTTCAATTCAAAAAAAATTATTTGAATAAAGAAAAAGAAAACCTTTCTTCCTATAAAAAGATTTATAATTCTCAAAATAAATTCCTTTCTAATCACAAAAACGAATAAACTTGTACTATGTTTGTTTGTCTCAATCTTCCTATTTTATTTTGTAGTCTAAATAGTGCGACATTAAACTTTATATAAATAAGAGTCATAGACAAACAATCAATCTTAGTCAGGCTCTTCCGTTTTTACTGCAGAAGTGCTGAGGACTACATGATTTTTATGAAGGTACAATTTATTAGTCATAAAATAAAGAGCAAGTATACCATTTTCGTAAGTTGGAAGAAACTGAATACATGATTTTTACAAAATCACATCTGTGATTTTTGTAAGAAGCGACACATTCCTGCAAGAGAAGTTGCGTAAACATGCGGATTTTTTTTTTCGTTCTGCCTTCTTTCATTCAAGTATATAAAGACACATGCAAATCAATGAATATCATTTCAATCAAAATATTCAAAACCAAATATGGAATTAATCCAGTTTCTATGTTTACTTATTATCTTCTACAATGTTTCAGTTTCTCAACAATTGTCGATAAGAGCGAATAGCCCGGCAACAACAACTAGATCAACATCAACAACGAAACGAACAACAAAATCAACTTCAACAACTAGATCAACAACAACAACGAAACCAACAACAAGATCAACATCAACAACCAGACCAATCACCACAACATCAAACAATGTCTCGAATGCTTCAAATCCATTAGCACCTAGTCGTCTTGAATCAATCAAAAACTCGTACAGTGAATTGAATCTTCTATCAAAAACAAATCCATCAGATTTTATTTTTGATTTTGATAAAGCAGTAACAGGTGTTTCAACAGGAACAGGTGGTCGAACTGTTTCGGCAACTGTATGTATCAAATTTATTTGAAAACAAAAACAAATTGTAATACGATATTCTATTTTATTTTAGGCAGCAAATTTCCCTGGTTTAATTAATCATGGCATAGCAATGACAATTGGTTTTTTAGGCCCATGTGGTATTAATCTTCCACATACACATCCAAGAGCAACAGAAATCAACTTTTCAGTTGATGGTGATTTTCAAATTGGATTTTTTCAAGAAAATGGTGCTAGTTTTATTATGAATGAAATACATAAAAATCAAGTAGCTGTTTTTCCTAAAGGTGCTATTCATTTTGAACAAAATCTTAATTGTGTTCCAGCAACATTTGTTGCTGCATTTAATAGTGAAGATCCAGGTGTATTGACTATTGGAAATAGTTTTTTTGGTTCATTACCAGCAACAGTTGTTGGTGCATCACTTGGTGGATTAAACATAACAACAATAGAAGATATTCGTGTACATCTTGTACAAAATCCATCGATTGGAATTGCTGAATGTAAAAAACGTTGTGGTCTATAGACATTTAAAGGAGAAAGTTTTATGAATTTCTGTGTTGTTCAAATAAAAAAATACAATAAACAAGAAAATTAATTTTGTATCACGTCTACTATTTGCTAAAAAGAAAATTTTTCATTTAGACAAAATAAATGCTAAGACTATTTTGTGTTTAAAAAAATCTGAAACTATCAATATTTTCTTGCTTTTATACAAAAGCAACTTCTTTCTCTTTCTTATCTCTCAAATATTTAGTTACGTCGCTTCTTTTATGGAAAAAACAAAATGTACGTTGTGTATTATTAAATTCAAGAATGATGAAGAGAAGAGAAATGAGCCAAGTCATTTTATATGATAAATAACACAAAGATCATTAATGTCTGTAATAAATTTAACCTTTCGAGGTGATAAAGTCCGTTGGTAGATTCTGCTACATTTTAACAAAAACCTTAGTAGAAAAACATTTTTTTTTGCTTTTTTTAGACAAAGAGATTACATATAATGTGTCATCTTGTCTGTCTTTCGTATTGTTTTAGGCCTTTATCTCATAGCATGATGATTCTCATTAAAACAGTCAAGACAAAATAATTTTTTACAATCAAGACAGAAGGTTTCTATTTTCTTTGCCGCCATTGCACTCGTTTCTCTTGTAACATCTTACACAGCGTCTTCAGACATCGCGTGTAAGTCCTTCCATTTCTTCGAGCTTGTCATCAATTCGTTTGCGCTTCAAATGATTTGTTGAGTGTTGTCATGGACTAACTTTTAGATTCTGAAAGAGCATATCAAGAAATAAAGATTGTACAAGACTTTCACATTTTAGCATAGTCACACGGCTTTTATTTTTACGCGACTTGTAAATTTACGCCATGGTCAGTAACTTTTTCGTCGGAACTTGAAGATTATTGTCGAACGAGTTCATTTCATTGAGTGAGATAACATTCTCTTGATTGCTCTTATATATGAACAAGTGAGTCAAATAAAAAGTGAAAAATTTCGTTCCCTCATCTCTCACAGGTAATACCTTAAGCGATTATTCAATTGGACGTAAAACCTACTCCATTATCGGATGATACAAAGAAGAGAACGATAAATAAATAGTAGAGCATAATGAAAAAGTCAGAAAATGCATTTATTAAAAATCAACTACTTATGAAAATGAATATCTGAAAGAAAACTGAATCGCCTCGAAATGGATATTATATTTTGTATTATTAATCAAGTATTATAAATTTTATTTATTATTATTATAATTTTCCTTTTCAAATTCTTAAATATCGAGAAAATTCACGAGTACTTAAACATTTAATAGTACAGTCGAATAATTTATACTAAAAATATAGTTCTATTGAATATAAACTAACAAATTTAAATCAAAATTATTTTCGAGCTTTTTATAATACGAAATATAACTGATTAGATGAAGAGTATAAAAACTTCATTGTTTATTATGTAAATCATGTCTCTATAGGTTTTTAGAATGTTGATTGGGACTAATGGTTATATTATTATTCTAGAGTAAAAAATCAAGAGAAAAAATTTAAATCAATAGAAATTATCATAGGCATATTAATAAATAGTTTTCATTCAAATGATTTAATGAGAATAGAAAACTATCGAATAATAATCATTAAAATAAATAATGATATATGTTAGCATAATTATTGATCACTAATATAAATGAAGATATAAAACAGTAAGTATTAACAGGTAAAATTAATCATTACTTAACTATATATATATATGATAATAGTTTTAAGCAGTATTGTCTATAGACGATTTGATTAGACTATTTCTTTAATAGAAAAGAGAAGATTTCTATTGTTATTGCAATTTTTTTAAGAATGTATGACGACGAGAACAACTTGATATGGTCGAGAGCGACATTCTTGACAATTTACAACAAAATAATTACTTCATAGATTCTATTCTATATAAAAGAAAATGTAAAGGAAGAGGAAGACCTTGTAAAGGAAGGGAAATATATATATATTTAGTGTAATATACGGTCAAGTTGAGTGTTTTCAATTCAATCTGTTATAATGATAATTTTTATAAGATATGAAAATATCTTATTAATACAATAAGAAAAAGTATTCTAATTTATTTCAATGATTTCTATAAATAAAAATCTATATTTTTATGATCACTGATAGTTGGATGAGCGTATGAGATTAAATTTTCTTCGTTTCTTCTTTTTTTTATTGTTATTGTAAATCTTTTCTATTATTTATAGAATAATTTTTCTGATAGAATGTAAACCTAGCGATGCAAACAAACATCGTTTCTTATGCGTATGTGTTTGTATAAGCTCTAACTCATCTATTCAGAGATCAGTTTAGTTGAGTATTAGTAATATGCGAAAAAGAAAGGACACATTCCTTTCTACTTATTGTTAGATCTGATCAAGAAGAGCTAGATTGCATTTTTCTGTCAAAAATGAAAGAATCTTTTTATAATATTTATCTGTCAAAGAGAAAGAGTTTATATATGCGTATAAGATAGTATAAGAGAATGTATTTATGTTCATTTGTAAGGACAAAAGTCACTTGTGCATAAGAAGAATCGGTTTTGGTTCAATGATGAATATATTATTAATGACTGTTGATCTAATTTTTATCTTGTCTAATAGAAGAAGAGAGTGAGAGAGTCTTTTTTACTTTCAATAATATCTGATCGTAAAAAAATATTAGTGTAACTCGTCAAATATCACAATCATTGACGGCTAATTAGAATTCCCCAAATATGTTGTTTTTTCTATTACGTTCTCGTTTTTTTTTATGTCCGGAACCAAATATTTATTAGTATTAGTCGTGCACGAAAAAAAAATAGTAAGAAAGAAAAGAAGAAAAAGAGAGAGAGAGAGAACACTTGTACGTTTTGCTTCAAGGCAATCGAGCATATTTTGACAAGCAAACAGACGACTACATATAAAGATTTTTATTTATTTTTTACTTCGAAACCGTACCTACTACTTATTATAAGAAAATATTATATTATCGAAAATTTGTTTAAAACACATATTAATGCGGCATTGTATTCTTTTATATATATATATATATAATTACCAGTGCGCCACTGTATTCTTTACGGACAGTTAATTATAAGTGCGTACGTTTGATCTTATTGATAATACTAATAGAGAGAATCTAAGGGCTAATTATGATAGATAGATCCCTTGTCTATTTCTTTTTAGCTGTTAACGAGTTTCTTAAAAAGTACTATTCATATAATAAAAAAAGCATATGAATGAATATTGTATAATAAATGACAAGTATGTATATGCATTTATTTTGATAAGAAAAGTGAATTAGTAAATCGATTGATTCTTTCTTTTATGAACTAATTCTTTGTCAATTGATGGTAATCATTTGACAATATATTTTTATATTGCTTATGACACATGAAACTAACAAACGGAAGTTGGAAGATTGATTTCATATATGCTTGAACGGCTTTTAGGCAGAATGAAGTGTTTCTTTCTTTTTTTCTATACTCATGATTCTTTTTTACATAAAATGACAACGAATATAATAATAGTAATAATAATAATAGCAAACACAAATGGATAGTTCTCATTTTCTTTTCTCTTTTTTTTTCTCATTCATCGTTTGAAAAGAAACCACCTGATTGAATGAGTATGCAATAACATGCTCTAAAATGACTGAAAAAAGAAAACTAGACAGATGAGTTTATTTCGTTAAACACCCACAAATGACAGTAGTAAGCAATAAATCGATATTTTCATTTGTATGTATACACGCATCTGCATGCTTCATAGTTATTCATTGTATTGTTATAGGACATTCTTGTGTTCGTGATTATTGTTTTTGATATATATAAAAGAAAAAAAAGAAGAAGAGAAAGCGTCAATAACAGAAACTATAGATACAACATGTTAGCTTCTATTCATATCATTATTACCATTAGTTGTGTAACAACTGGTCCGCTTAGTTGCGTTGGCAGGCACACACTTGAGATAGCTTGTCATCATTGTATTGTATTCATTTATATCATTATATTCTTGAAGATATTAAAGAAACCCAGTTTTCTTTTATATCTAGACATCATTGAAAATAGAATGAAATCATTTTTGTCATAACAATTTTTTTGTTCTTTCTTAGAATAATAAACAGTTTTTTCTTCGTCTTATTTTTCCGTTATTTTTAAAAAAAAAAGAAATGTTATTTTTCAAAAGTGTCTACAGAAATAATATCTAGTCTTAAGATTTTATTTTTATTTTATTTTATAAATGAACAGATGACAATGATGACATAAACATAATAGAATTTTATATCTTATTAATACTCTTAATAACTAACCACTCTATAACATTAAATATATGGTAACAATAAAAAAAAATAATTACATTTAGTTTACTCTAGATTTTCAAAAACGGTATGTTGAATAGAGAACAATGGTTCAATCTTCTAATTCAACATATTT